GGCGCGGGGGTGGCCTGAGCCCCTCGGGCGGCTCTGCGGCCGGGGAGTCCCGCGCAGGGTGTCCGGCACTGGCTTTGCGCTTCCTCCCGCTGTCGTGCTTCCTCTGAAATGCATACGTTTTAAAAAGAAAGGAAGTTGTTAAGTGTTCTGGCTGCTGGAGCTTGGATTTTGGGGGGGGTTTTTTGCTGTTTGTTTTATCTTCTTAATTGATGAGTGGCTTTACTGCCAATGTATCATTGCCCCTGGATTTTTTCCACTCTGCAACTTTCTGTAGCTGCAGCGTGCCCTCTTCTAAGTACAGTGTCATCGTTTCAAATAAAGAGACATCCTAACAGACGGAGTGGCTGATGGCCCCTCAGTTTGTCTCTTTGGAGCAGTAATGGAGAAGGAGGTGTAGGAGTCGCTGTACCTGTTCATCACAGTGGTCACCAACTGGCTGGATTATGAACTGTTAAGAAGCAAAACTAATTCCGGTGATGGATGTTGATGTTTTCCAGGATATGTTTTCCTGCTCTTTGTGAAGCCAGAAATGTATGAGATTACCATGTATAAACGTTGAATGCAAGTATTTTACAAGGAGTAATAGAAACAGAGCAGATGTTGTTGCTCAGGGGAGATGGTGCTTCATCATTTCTCTGTGGAGTAATCCATGGTTAGGATACAGAATGCTCCCACGTGTCATTTACCTCTCAGCTTTAACTTTTCTTTTGCCAAGGGAGGAGAAAGGATGTTGCAGTTAACTGCAGCTAGTGATACTTGTGGTGCAGCATTCAGTGCCTCCCACCAGTTTCAAAAGCAGAGTGCAAATTTGCATGAGTTCTGTATGATTTCCAGGATTTTTTTTTGAACAGTGGAAAAACAAGCCATAAACATTAGATCAAGGTTTGTAGATTGTCATTAGCTTACAAAAGCTTCAGCCTGTGATTCTTTCTGCCATCAAAGAAATGTTTTGGAATGTATTTATTTTAAATACATTTTTAAATGAAGTCTGGTGTAGCAGAATATTCCTTACAATGGCAGAAAACCCTTTATGCATGGATTTTTTTGGAATGTTTGCTGAAAGATTTAGTTAGTCTTCAGTGCTCAGCGTCCTTAGCCACTCACGTTGCCCAGCATAGTGTGTGACGTTGAGAGAAACAGGTACATGGAAATGGTCCCCGTGACTTGGATGCCTCCCACTGTCAAACCAGTAATGAATCAAACATCTTTGTGTACAGTTTCCAGCCTGATTGGTTTATTTTGCAACTATTTGACATCAAAGAAAACTGTGTGAGCCAGCAAGAATATACAGCTGGCTAATGAGGCAGTGGCACAGGCAGAAAGAGTTTCTGATGGAGAACCTCAGTCTGTTTAATTTACAGTCGCTTCTAATCTAATCTAATTGTCACTGTTTCTGATGTGGAAAGGAAATAAAAACAACCAAGCAAAAGGGAAGACCACCCATTGTTTCTGCAGAGCCTTTCCTCTCACCACAGTTTGTGCTGGGTCCCCTGGGCAAGGCAGTGGGTGGTGGTGCAGGAGGTTGGGTTGGTGCACGGTGTGGTTCTCTGTACAGCTTTAGTAGCTGTATCACAGAAAAATCTGTAGTGTGTGTACTCAAGTGTGTGTTGTCAGATTACACCAAAGGAGAGGCAGTAACACCAGTTTCATAGGATTGTGAAGGGTTGGAAGGGGCCTTAAAAACCACCCAGTTCCAGCCTCTGCCGTGGGCAGGCACACCTTCCACTAGACCAGGGTGTCAGAGCCCATCCAGCCAGGCCTTGAACACTGCCAGGGATGGGGCATCTTCAGCCTCTCTATGTTTCAACACTGGTCTTAATTTTGCCTTCCTTTATGACCAGCTAGTATTCATCTTAGATGAGATGATGCATTTTGAAGCAGTCAGGAAATGAATGAGTGCTTAGTACTTTATTTGGTGCCTTTTCCTTTCCAGCAGAGCAGCAGTGGCTGTGATCCCCTACCTGATGCCTTTGTGGCTCTGATAGTTACTCTGTTGCCAGATGTGTGTTCTTAGCGTTGCTAGGCATGTGCCCTTTGTATCGCTGACAGGACAAAGTGTGTGGTTAAGTCTTCTCTCTAACCAGAGAGAGAGAGGCATTCTTGGAGCACTGTTTTGTGCCACAGATTTAGGCAGCCATAACTATTCTCTGCTGTGGCTACCTGATTGCAGAGAAGAGTTGCCATTGCTCTGGAGCATCTCAGTTCCAGTTTGTTCGCACACAGACTCTATCTTTTATCTTCAGGTGTAAGGCTTTCTGGTTTGGTTGCACTTAGGTCATTACATTACCCTCTGCTACGTTACCCAGTTTGTAAAGCACAGGGGGACAGGTTTGTAGAGTGAGACAGAGCTGAGCACCCAACACCCGCACTGTGCATGTTGTGATAGGAGGGTACATCAGACTGAAGTCTTGTGGACTGAATGCACATAATAGATCATAATGCACTGCAATATAACTGCTTATTAGTCTCCTTCCATTTCGCTTCCACCTCAGGAGTATTTTTGCTATTTTATCGTTGCAACCACCTTTAAAAATGGCTATAGAGGTGGTGACTGAATTACTTTTTTTTTTTTTATAGATAAGAGCAAGTCTCAGCACTAGCAACAATAAAGCAAGGAAGCTTAACCCTAGTGATCTAAATGTCACTTTTGTTTGATTCTGCCGGTGTGTCAGAAACATCTGTTCATGTTGGTTCCAGCTGGATGTCGTGGCAGAGGCAGCAGTCACCTGCCTGCAGGTCTCTAAGGTCACCAACAGTTCAGCTGTGCAGAACAGCCACTGGTTTCGTTCTGCTGTTTCGGTTTGTGTATGTGATCTCAGAGAGGCTGCCCAGAACTGCACAGGTGGCTGTGGAGCTTGTGTCTGCTGTGACTGGAGGTGCTCCTGACCCCTGTGCCTGGAGGGAGGGGGATGGTTCCCAACACCTCCCTCAGTGTCTGTCATACCTTGGGGGTCATGAGCCAGTAACAGGAACCTGGGGACTGTGAGATTGAACCTGATATTATGAGGCTGAGCCACATGGCTAACTTAGAGTTTGTGCAGAGCTGGATAAATTTTCAACCCAAAGCTAAAATAAGAATTGTGGGTGGAAAAGGAAAGGAACTGTGGGAAGGGAAGATAATTATAGCCACTTTCTGTAACTATAAAGATTGTTAATATATCTCTTTAGGAGAGTAGGCTGAAAAAATAGCAGAAATATCTGTATGGTATGTCTGTATTTACTGCAGAGGGCTTGGGAGAGAAAAACAGCACAGTGCTGAGGGGCTTTTGTAACTCACATTTTGCATATTTATATGGTTACTTTTGAAAATTCTGATCTTTTCTTGCAATAGAGATGTGTAGCCAGTGAGGTTTTCTGTATTTATTTCCTACATTTGTTCAATAGGCTTTTTTTTCCCTTTCCTATGTTGGAAGTATTGGACTGTGGAAAGAAAAGCTGTTATGGTTTGCATAAATCTCATAATAAAGACTCAGGTATTGCCTAACTGGAACTTTAAAGTTGTCTAGTATCTGAGGCTGGAAGGCACCTCTGAACATCTCTGATCCAACTATCCCACTGCCTTACGCCAGACATGGTCAGCAGTTTGCTCAGGGCTGTGTCTGGTGAGGTTTGGGGGATGGAGACTCCACAAGTTCAGCCTGTGTCAGGGGTTGCTCAGTGAAGGTTTACGTAGAATTTCTTATATTTCAGTATGTGCCTCCAACCTGTCACTGACACCTCTGAGCAGAGTCTGGCTCTTGTCAGCTACTTAACACATTGATAAGATCCCCCTGAGCCTTCTTGGGAAGCAGCTGAGGACCTTAGCCTGTGTGTGCGCTCAGTGTAAATGCCAGGTCTGATCACATCAGTGCCCCTGTTAGTAACTCACCGTGGCACAGAGCTGGGAAAGTAGATGTTAAGGCAGCACTTCTAAGCTTAAAGATTGCAAATGAGATTTCTGAGGAGTTATTCATACTGCCTTCATTTGAAAATAATTAGTGAACCATATCCTTAATTTGCAAATGTTGAACATGGCATGTTGTTTGACAGCATTTACAGAGTCTACGAGATGAGCAAGCTGTCCCACCCATGCTCTTTTTGTTCTTCTCAAAAGCAAAAGCAAAATCAGAGATTATACTAAATCACCAGAGGAATTGAAGTTCCTTATGTCAAATCATTTGTCTATATCTCTTCCTGCATTTGGAGCATGCTGTAACTAATGGGCCTCAGTATTTGGGAAGTGATCAGTGCTGTTCCTGAGATTCACTTCAGGTGTTTGTGGTTTCAGTTTGTCCTTCCTGGTTTAGAGCTGTCAAGGCCTTGTATGTAGCAATGGTGCCTTGTGGAGCTGTTTGATAGACCAGGTAACTAGACTCAGGATAGCTGAGTGGGAACACTGCCATGTTTTAGATGCTGTGTGGCATTGTGGAGACTTAGCCATTTTTCTCAAGGAAAAGAAACTAATTATCTGAAGAAAAGTATGTTTTCCCTTTCAGTAGCATCGTTGTTTGCCTGACTGACAGTGGAAGTGGTTTGTCTTTTGAGATGGCAGTGAAGGATTCTGCAGAGTAAGATTAAGACACTTCAGCATGTTAGCATCAAAGGGTTAAAAAAGGGAATTTCACTCAGTACCAGTTAGCTTGGGTAACTGTATTCCCAAGTTTTGAGTCCTTCTTGTTGTTAATCCTTCTGTTTATGGTGTTCAGATGCATTTCTGATGACTGTGATAGAAGTTTGGATGGTTTAATTGTTTATCTTTTCTGTTGTTCTAGCCTCAAGGAATAGGTTCCCCTAGTGTCTACCACGCTGTTATCGTGATCTTCTTGGAATTTTTTGCTTGGGGACTCCTGACAGCTCCTACTCTGGTGGTAGGTGATTCTCTGGAGCTTTTTCTCTCTGTATGGGGGGTGGGCAGTTACTGCAGAAACACTGAGCAGCTTTTGAATTAAATGAAAACCACATAGAATTGAGCTGCTCTGTTGTGCGAGTGAAAAGTTGTGTGTTTTTAGATGTATCAGGAATTTCAAATTATTTCATTAAAGCAGTGTAATGGTGTAGCAGAGCTGCTAACACTCAAGCTTGCATGTAAATATTTTCTGACTTGAAACCAGTAAGAGAGTAATGAAATAATCTTTCAAGGTGCCACAAAAAGTGACACATTAGAAATGTAAGGACAGAAGTACTTGAAATTTGGTAACATTATGCAGCTGTGTGTGTGTAGGTAGAGAGATCTGTGCTGACCTGGCTGTGCTTTAAACAGAAGCTTCAGAGCACAGACCCTGTTACACCAGTCAAAGCTTCCCTGTCATTAGCAACACAGTCATACCAACTTCTTTGTACCATTATTTTCTCGTGTGGTTGGTTGCTTCTAATTTGGATTTAATCTGTGAGTGACACATGCTGACAAATTAAAAGGAGTGAAGGCTTAAAAATTTCCAGGCAAACTCCACCTAAAGTGCAGTCTTGGTGCAGCTCTGAGAGCTGATGTTAACCATGAACAGTCTCTTGGGAATAAACTGCACGTTGGTCACTGCATGGAATCCCTCTGCCCTCACAGCAGTCAGACTGAGAGGGACCTGTGGTAACTGCATGTCTAGGCTCTGGGCACCAGACTGAGAGGCATCAGAATGGTGATGTCTCTCCTCTCTCTCCCCAGTCCCTGACAGAAGACAAAACAACATGTGGAGAGTCTGGTCTGAGATAATTTTCTAGGTTCTCTGTGGTCTATTTAGATTTCAGACACTGAAATCCCAAAGTACCCTCTGTGGTTACTTGTGGTTTGATTTTATTTTTTTTTCTCTTTTTTTCCTTCTATATCCCATGAAAATAAAAAGCTACCATGCATCAGAACGTTGGATGCATCATAAGCAATATTTATAGTTCATATTGTGTAAATGACACTGTTTATATTTCTTCTCCAGGTTTTGCATGAAACCTTCCCAAAACATACATTTCTGATGAATGGTCTAATTCAAGGAGTAAAGGTAAGCTGACAGCAGTTAATCACAAGTACAAGTGAAGGTGAATGGTGGGAGGAGTACAGAAATGATTGCCAATTGAAGGAAACATCCAAGAGGTTTTTCAGTATAGATTTTACAGTATAAATAAAATGGGAATAAATTATTGCTAGAAAGGCAAATATGCATCATTTTACTTTTAGTAAGGTATCACTTGGTCTGTATGTACTGTTTGGGTTCAGCAAATAAAAAGGTAGTTTTTAATCCCAAATGATGATAATTTTTTTACTCAGAGCTTGTTGCTTCAGTAGGGTATTTTCAGTTGCCTAGGTTTATGTGAATTCTAAGTAGGTAAGATTACAAAACACAGTTCATAAAACTGCTAGTGTGACTGGACCATCTGCATCTTGAATTTTGTGTAGTTCTGAGGTAACAGATCTCAAACTTTATGTAACCAGACGTGGGACAGAAGATCAGTAATGCCTGGCCACGTTGCCTGTGATGCATTGCACTGTAGTCATTGACCTGAATCAGAACGGAGCCCAGGCTGCTCTCAGGGCATGGTGTGATCAGCTATCACGATTCTAACCACTGAGCTCTAACTTAAAATGTTTTGTTTCATGTAGGGCTTGTTATCGTTTCTCAGCGCCCCACTCATAGGTGCCCTGTCTGATGTGTGGGGACGGAAGTCCTTCTTGCTGCTAACAGTATTTTTCACCTGTGCACCAATACCACTAATGAAGATCAGCCCATGGTTAGTAAAGTCTTTCACATTACTTTGGCTGTTTCTTGTCTAGGTTGCTATCTAATGCTCATGTTTGTAGCATTGTTGATAAAGTATTGTGTTTCATGGAAGGCTGAGGCTTTTGTATTACTTCTGTGCAAAGCTGGAGGAACAGTCAGACTGAAGCAGCAGCCATGAGCCCAAATGCTTTGGTGAGAATTTAAGAGCTGCTGGTTTAGCTCTCTGTGCTGTAAGCCCTGTGTCCTGCTCCAGCACAGCTGCAAGAGCTAATAGAATACTCTCCAGTGACTGTGCAGGTCTGTGCTGTGGCCACAGTGCTCGAATACGAACCAACTATGTGGAAATTAGACCTTATCTCATGCTAGTCGCAAAGCTGGGGGAACAGTCAGACTGAAGCAGCTGCCATGAGCCCAAATGCTTTGGTGAGAATTTAAGAGCTGCTGGTTTAGCTCTCTGTGCTGTAAGCCCTGTGTCCTGCTCCAGCACAGCTGCAAGAGCTAATAGAATACTCTCCAGTGACTGTGCAGGTCTGTGCTGTGGCCACAGTGCTCGAATACGAACCAGCTATGTGGAAATTAGACCTTATCTCATGCTAGTGAGTGCACAAAGTAGCCATTTGTAACTTAAAATGCTGCTGCAGTTTCACACTTCATTTCTCAAATTCCCAAATCCACCAGCTTTAATGCTGTGTGCAAGTAACCTCTTAGCTGGCTGGAACATTCCCCAGGTCAGGCATGAGTCAGAGCTCTGTGTTGCTGCCTGACCCATGTGCTGTAGCTGAGGGTGGTGCAGCAGCAGCACAGCCTGCACTGGCACAGGGCAGCACCAGCTGTTCAGGTAGCTCTGTCAGCCTTGCCCTCTGGTTATACAGGCTGTTCATCCCTCTCAGGAAGGAGCTTGTTTTTAGGTTTCCAATGCCAAGTGCTACTGCCTGTAGCATAAAGGCACAGCTAATGGTGAGACCTTCCAGTGACCAGGTTCTCAGAATACTGAAGTTCCCACTTCACTGTGGCTCATAGGTCAGTTGAATTTATTAGTTCAACACCTCATTTCCTAGAAA